TAAACTAAGTAAATATAAGAAATTTATCTTCATTAAGTCTCAAACTTGGGTTTTTTTGTATTATTGTTTTTTCTTTTATATTTGTTTGAAGTACTATAAAAGATGTTGTATTTTATTGAACTAATTACTTTGGAAAAAATTTAATTGAATAAGAAACTTTTGACAAATATTAATGCATCTCTAGAAAATCTGAAACCGGACATATGAAATTCACATTTCGAATAAAAAATCTGTGCGTAGAATGCCATAAGACCCGAATACTTTTCCAACAATCTAATTACAAAACTTGGAAAGCCTCCTTGAAAGGGCGATTTCGGAGACTCTTGAAAGAGCCGGCTTATTAGAGAACCAATACGGTTTCAAAAAGCAAAGTCAACTGCGAAATCCGTATCCACAGCTGTAAAGCTGTAACTGGTAATCGTTACCTTGGAGGCAGGGTTGACACTGACAAAAAAAATGCTTGAAAAAATCTACCAAATCTGGAATATATCACCAATAATACTTTTAAGTAATTTTAATAAAAACTATAAATTTATTCTATTTTTTAGTTAGTTGAAATTAAAATGTAACTCGTAATCGTTATCTTGGAGGCAGGGTTGACACTGACGAAAAAATTCTTGAAAAAATTTACCGAATCTGAAACATATCACCAATAATACTTTTGAGTAATTTTAATAAAAACTATAAATTTATTATATTTTTTAGTTAGTTGAAATTAAAACTTTTTATTGAGCAACTTTTTTATGGTATTTGCCATCTTATTAATGGCATCTTATAGAGTTTCTTCAACTTAAAGCGAAAGTGATGAAACTGAAGGCAACATCGGAACTTCACATACAGTTTTAGAGCACACTGAATTTTAGTATATCAAACAATGTACATTTAATAATTGCCATTATAAAAACTGGCGCTGCGGACAACCATTATGTGTAACTACAAACCTGTCCACCTTTCTTTCATTTAAAGAATATTTTAAAATATTTAGGCAAAACTCCTCAATATTCCAGTAAAATAAGCTTTGAAATGAGGACAATATGTTCGGCGTTTATCGATTTACAAACATACATATGTATGTATACTCTTTATTTTAATATATTAAATATTATTTTCTGAAAACCTGTTAAAAATGTATTTTACGCACAAAATTGCGCGAACATATTGGGCAACCTAACGGAGGTAAGAGTGTCTAATTGCCTTAATTAAGTGGTCCCAAGTATGCTTACTTAGTCCAGATCAAGGTAAATGTTTAACCATCTCAAGTGCTTTAAAATACTGCCGTCCAAAAATGCATGTGAAAACGTAAAGACCGAATTTTAATGCTCTCACCCCTTAAAATTTTTTATATATGGAAAAATACACTTTTCTTTAAATTAAAAAATATTTAGAGGTCGCTCAAAGTTGCCAATATATTTTATATGGGGAAAAACTATTTTCAGGAAACATACCTATAACCACTTGTTTGCTTAACCATTTTTTAATATATGTTAACGATTTTTATTGGTCCCTCCATCACATTTTTTGCGTTTTTTCTATATAAAATACATAGTATTTTTTCGATATAAAAAATTCCACGGGTGAAGTAATTAAAATTCCGATTTTACTTCATTGTGCTTCCATATTCAACTTAGAGAAGGTAAAGCAAACGTGCCGAAGGGTAGTGTGGCCGATAACACCGTAGGGAAAATTTCAAGTTTTGAAATTACACAAAATGAAACAAAAAATCGCCGAGACACGTAAACTTAATTTTCGGTCGTACATTTTGGATCTGTATACCGTTTGTCCAGATCATGTAATTTTCGTAAGATATTTTCAATCTTATAAAAAAGAAATAAGACTTTTGAACAAGGAAAAAATTAAAACAAGTTAATATTAAAAAAATATTTTTAAAACAAGCTTTCTAAATATGAACGAGATCGGACAATAAATAGTGGTTTACCAAATATCCCAACTCCTGCGCCACTTATCGGATTAATTCATCTTCCGTGCCTATTGCATTGTCATCGGGTTCTGAGCCCACTGAGAAGTTTCAAATCTCTACACGGTAAAAAGTTTCGGTTTTAATTTTAAACTTTTTGGACTACATATATGACCAAAATAAATTCAGTTTCAAATACAAACCTTCCAAGTTTAAAAAAAAATATGTTGGGTTTAGAATTTAAACAGTTCGGTTAAATTTTAAACCCAAACAAATTCATAATTAAGAATAACAAACAAAAATCTTAAATTTCATGTTCCGTCTGATGAGGATTGAACCCGTACAGGCTTGGTAGCAACCAATTGTATCAAGCATCTTTGCACACTCAGCTCCAGCCACGCATGTGGGTTGAGTTTGAGTCAACACATTTCGCTGTGTGCAAACATTTTCTATTTCGGTTTAGATTTTAAACCAAATTTTCTATATATGAAACCTAGAAACTAGAATGAAAACATTTTGGATTGATTTTGAAACCACGAACTTTTTGGACTAAAATTTAAACCAGAATATATTAAAAATTGCTTAAAACTATTGACTGTTTAAAAAGTAGACTATAAAAGATTAAAAAAGGCTGCAGTCCAAGTGCTTTTTAAAAATTAAACCCAAATTTTTGACCGTGTAAGTCATCTAAAAGTTGGTTAATAATCCATTGCATGATGGCGGATACAGGGGTGAGGGGGCAATTTTGCAATTTTTCTGTACCTCTTGTTATTTACGAGATAGGGGCAAAAAAACGGGAATTTCATGAAAATATTGGGTTTAGTGAACCGTACTAACTCGCTGGTGGGAGTTGAAGTTATGCCGCAATAGATACTTTAGTAGAACGTTCAATTCTGAAGAGAACTCATCATTGACCATGATTATACCATAAAATGCCTCTGAGCTATACAATTTTGAAGAAAAACAATCAAAGTTTACGTGTATTTTATATGCGAAATTTTTGCATGCCTTGGGCGAGTACTTAATGTTAATTTTAAGGGTTAAAATTTTCAGGGAGTTTTTTTAGGTGTCTTCCACAAAATTTGGAGGTAGGAGTGAAAAAAAAACAAGAGTCGCAAAAAAGCGCCCTAATATACATATACATATACAAGAATTGCTCATTTAATGTAATAAGATATGAACCAGAATCAGGAAATAATGTTACTCATACGCCATATCGTACATGGCACTCGTACATGGCTCTCGAGGAAAAAGTTCAATCTGGGATAGGCTTTAATGCTTAACACGTCCGCTACTAAGCGTATTTAAGCAGTGCGCCATCACAGACCAGGTAGATTTTTTTTTTGTCTAGTAGTAAATAAATATAACCTCATACTTTACAGGTAGCTGTTATCCCGATACCACTTGTTACAAACGTGTGCCAGACCTTCCTATAGACCATACTGTATCCAACAATCCGCTATCGCAGGCGGCGCTGAATGGAAGTATAATTTAATTAAGTTAGACCGGTGTCACACATTTGTGTCGGCGGTCCCACGTGAAAACCCAGCTGACGCATATATGTGACGCCTGGTAGCGAACGTGTTAAATAAACCAGTGGCAGATGTGTCTCCTCTTGCTAAACTTTCCTCCTAAATAGTTTCACTGTATGCAACTTTCGAAAAATTTCGCCTTTTTTGCGCTCATATCAAGTCATTAACTCTGTACATGTATGTATGTATGTACATAATTATATGTATTTATCTAATACCGATTTCATACTTATGTATGTGTGTATGTTATCCTATCATTAAGTATTTATGCGAGTGCTTAGTTCAGTTAATTGCATTTCGATAAACTAATATGCATGCACATTTGTATATATGTACATTAGACTGCATCACCAAAAAAAGTTGCGATTTTTCCGCCGGGATAACAAAATTTATTATATTTTAAGATGTCCACCAAAATATTTCGGAAAAATATTAAGATTTAAGCGAGCTGGACCGATTTGAAAATACCTCCAAAAATGAAGTTTTTTATGAATAAAAATAGTTTCTTAAAGAACTTTTTGAAAAAAGTCCCCTCAGATGACAAATTTGATTAAGCTTAAAAATTCTGCACAAAATATTTGAAAATCTTCTCAACGGAATCGAAAGAATGAGGTTTTTGATGCTGTTTTTTTACTTTTTTCAAAGATTGGTTTACGAAAATCTTGAATAACTGGGCCAAAAATGTTCTGATGTAGACTTATGGGATCGCAGTAGAAAGGTATTTTCACACTGTTTTTATTTCTGCCCAAAAAAACGACATTCGTGTCCCATCTTGGGTTTTCCAATACCAACACAACTTAATTCAACTTTGAATGACGTTCGTTCATCCTACCTTTCTCTTCCATCCTTTGAATAAGTTTATTAGCAAAGAAATAAAAAGGTGAGAAAATATCTTTCCAATGACACCTCTTAAGTCTAAATTGGATGAGTTTAGGTTCAGTTATTCAAGTTTTTCCTATACCAATCTTTGAAAAAAGTTAAAAAACAGCATCAAAAATCTCATTCTCACGATTCCGTTCAAAATTTTGTTTAAATATTTTTGTGCAAATAGTTTAAGCTTAAACTGTTTTATCATTTGAGGTGATTTTTTCAAAAAAAGTCTTTAAGAAACTATTTTTATTCATAAAAAACTCCATTTTCGGAGGTATTTTCAAATCGGTCCAGCTCACTTAAATCTTAATATTTTTCCGAAATATTTTGGTGGACGTCTTAAAATATAACAGATTTTATAATTCCAATAGAAAAATAGTACCGATTTTTTTTTTGTATGGGGAGTGATGCAGTCTAATGTACATATGTACATTTGTATATGTGTATCTGCTTGTGAGTTGTCTATTCAATTTTAAATAAACAATTTGGCCAGTTAGTGAACAGTGAACAGTGAACGTAAAATGTGTGCGGTGGTCACAAGCCGACTTAACGTCGGGCCACATAAATTTCCAATAATATTATTTTTTGTTATAATCTCGCAGCCTAAAATTGTACAAAATGTTCGTACAGAATTTAATTGAATATAGTTTTACTATAAATAATTACATTAACTACAGTCTTTCATTTAGGAAAAAGTCATCAAAGTCATGAGTATGGAGTGTAAATCGTTGGATTTGAAATTCTCACGAGTAGCTCAGTGTAAGCTAAAAGCTTTAAGACCCGATGTCACTGAGGTGACGATGGAAGCCATTTTGTTACAAAAGTCAAAACCATTAGATAATATAACGGTACGTATACATATGTATAAAAGTATTGACATATCGTCGTTTAAAGTACAAAACCGCGCATCAAAAACAAGGCAAAACCGCGTATGGAAGGTTGCATAAATTATTTTCTAGAGACCAAAAACACTCATATTTCAAAATGGTTCTCTTTTTTATAAAGCAATCGCATTTCTAGATAGTATATTTCAGGACGAATGGATAAGGATTGAGCCAAGAGCTTATGTGAGCAAATCCAATTTTTGGAAGCAAATGTCAGTTACGCGGTTTTGCAGAAAGACGACTTTGTACTTTAAACAACGATATTTTTCCATAAGTACGTAAGATAAGCTTTTTCAATGTATTTATCTGCATACGAAAGATTTGGACCACAGTGCGCAGGCGTGGCGTTCAGGTTGGCAAGCCGTTGCTAGAATTTCGTGTAGATCTTTGTGCATTCATGCGCAATACACGACGAAACCTTTTGGCGGAACTAGCATATAAAATACTGGGTTTTGAGAAATGGAGCAATATAAATCACACGTGCCCCTATGAAGTAAATAAGTCTACAGAGAATTCTATTTGTGGTCAAATATGCTATGTTCCTAAATTATTTATTATTAATTATTTTCAGCATGATTTGCTGGTGAATAAATATCCGTTTGATGGAAAGAGGATGGGCAGATTCGTACCACTACAAGAAGGGCGCTACAGCTTGGTCGGCAAATGGTTCTTCTATGATATTTTGCGAATTATATTAACAGTTCATTTTCAGGTGTACGAAAAGTAAATAATTGTAAAAACTAGTTCACCAATAATTTTCTTGTAAGCCTCTTTCTTTTGATGGCGAAATTATAATGATTTGATAGTATGCACCGGGAATCGCGCCAGTTAACGGCTGGTTGATATCCTCGGAAATGCTATTGGGCTTATCATAACTTTACGACACTCACATATTAACAAGATTTTATCATTTATCTAAATATTTTTTTAATTTTAATTCTTTGTTTATAAAAATACTAGCCAATTCCTGCTTGCTTCGCGGCGCCTCTTAACAAATTTTGCGTGGGCCAATGCAAAAATAGCGATTAAATGCAAAACGGTAAGTAAGGTAAAAAAGTTTAAACAACTAAATATGTAGTAGAATCCTGCTCTTACATACGCCAAAAATAGTAGCGCTTTGATGCCATATGCAAAACTAATTCCTCTCGATGTCATGAATTTTGCCGATGGTCTTATTTCCACGTGTGAAATCTCTGCCAAGCGTGCATAACCTTCTTTGATCTTGCAACTACAACATGCGGAAGCCAATATATGTAAGTCCTTATAAGGAAACATAAGAGCAAGCACAAATAAGCGTTTTCTGTTATATGAGGATACTCGCTGCCGCACAGGATGCAAAGTTTTCCCGTACATTGGCTAAATGAGTCGTGAGATATCTTGAATATCTTTTGAATGAAGCCATTGATATACCTACCGTGTTCCTTCTTGGGCGGATGTGGTCGAATCTTTCCTTGTCAATTCGCCACTTTTACAATTCGTCTTAATATTTATGAACTGATTTCTTTGAGTCTTTCTGCTGCAATAACGGCCGCCCAAATCAATTTCGTTAATCGGAGGTAAATGCAAGATCGCATTAAGAGTGTATGAGGGCGTCAGGCAAAGGTGCACTTACACAATTTCATTTAGCCATTTGAATACTAAATTCGTATAAAATAAACATAGGGCCGAAGCAGATCACACACGTGGGGTTTCTATATATTACGGCTGCAGTGCCATTCTTGGGTCCCTTTTCTGCAAAACAAAAAAAAACAATTTCAGCCAGGTTGTTTAAAAAATAAGGATTTTATAAATATCTCTACCATACAGCAAGTTCATATTTAGCAAACGAATTCAGCATACTGGTGGCTCACATTGTGAATTTGAACGAAATCGGTGAATAAATAAAAATTTTTATTAGTCCATTGAACTCTATCCAGTGCTATTTGAGGTTAGTCCGGAGAACTAAAACAGCTACCATTTTATGTATATAGGTATGTATGTAGATAGGATAATCTATAACGAAACTTATAAAAATTAAATTTCAAACTTCAAAAAATTTTCAAGATTTTCGCAAAAAATTTTACCCTTTCCCAAAAATTAAATAACAATTGCTCAGTGCGATTTAGAAATCTAGGAGAAAATGCTTCCCAGTCGAATGATGCGTGCCTATCTATATTTAGGACGTTAGCATAAGGCGGTTCCATAGATAGGCGATTTGAGAAGTTATGTTTGTATGAGAGGTGCCACGCCCCCTTTTTAAATATCTGCTACTTTTTGCATTAGTATTTACGCGACTGATAAAATATGTAGCTGTGTAAAATTTCAGGACGTTAGCCTAAGCGCTTCCAGAGATAAGCCATAGGAGATGTTAAGTTTGTATGGGAGGTGCAACGCCCCTTTTTCCAAAAGGAAGAGTTCGAATTTTATATGTATATTAGATAAGCACGATGCGAGAAGCATAGAAAAAATTTCGATGAAAAAAAAAAAATATTTTTTCCCGGGTTCACAACTATGTTATCTTTTAAGTCGGAACCAACAACACCCACAAAATTTCACTGAAATCAGTTAAGCGGTATCGGATATTAGCGTAAACGAACACAGCGACACGGGATATTTATATATTAAGATACCCTACTATAAGCACCTACCATAGATACGTTTGCGTACCAAATTTCAATTTCATTTGACTTATGGTTTAGAAATTATAGCTGATAAAATTTTCCACGCCTATGGGATGTGCCACGCCCCCTTTTACAAACCCATTTATATATAAGCACCTACCATTGATATATCTGCATACTAAATTTTAAGTTCGTGGGACTTATAGTTCAGAATTTATAGCTGATAGAAAATTCCATGCCTACTGGATGTGCCATGCACTCTTTTCCAAACTCATTTATATATACCCTAATATAAGTACCTACCATTAAAATGGCTGCGTACGAAATTTCAAGTTCAAGCGACTTATAGCTCCGGAGTTATAGCTGATAAAACATTCCAGGTCCATGGGACGTGCCGCTCCCCCTTTTACAAACTCACTTATATATAGCCTAGTATAAGCACCTACTGTAGATACGTCTGCGTACCAAATTTCAATTTCACGTGACATATGATTCCGAATTTTCCACGCCTATGGGATGTTCCACTCAGTTATATATGCCTTACTTAAAGCGCCTACCGTAGATATGCCTACACACCAAACTTCAAGTTCTTGGGACTTATGGTTCCCAAGTTATAGTTGATAAAAGGGTCCACGCCTATGGGATGTGCTACGCCCATTTTTACAAATTCATGTATATATAGCCTACTGTAAGCACCTACCGCAGATATGTATCCATACCTAATTTCAATTTCATGTGACTGATGGTTGTGAAATTATAGCTGATAAAAATTTCCACGCCTGTGGGATGTGCCACGCCCCCTTTTACAAACCCCTTTATATATACTTTACTGTAAGCACCTACCATAGTTATGTCTGCATACCAAATTTCAATTTCATGTGGCTTATAGTTCCGGAGTTATAGCTGATAAAATGGTGACAGGTAATAAGATCAACGGAAATAAGGTCAATTGACTTTATTTCCCACCCTGGTGCGAGATAAAGCCAATTGACATTATTACCTTTTTAAAAACGAAATAAAATCCATTGACATTATTTCCCTTTCAAACATTAAATTTGTTTAGCTTCGCGGCGGCGCGCGTCAGTGCGCCACACCGCGCGCGCCGCGCTCGCCCCCCGCGTTCCCACGCGACCGGTGCTACGCCGCGGCCCCCTCCGGCCCTCCCTTCCCCGTCTCCCGGTAGAAGCAGGGATGCCAACTTGGCTCAAACCGTGCCATTTGTCCGTATTTTACTTCAAATGGCACTTACATAGTTTTTCAATTTGGCACAAAGTGCCACAATTGGACTTTTGTAAAAAAAATTACATTGCAATACATTTTTGTGAAATCCTTTGCGTGCACTTCTTTTTCTCAACTAAAATTTTCTAATTTATAAAGGCTATTCAACTGGTTTATCTTATTTTATCATTGCACTGTTGTTTGGGAAATGTAGCTTTGTTTTATTGCTAAATGTGAATGATTAAAAGGAATGACACCTTTTCTGGCACTTTGATTTTTCTATTTGGCACTTTTTATCCTCAATATGGCACCTCATAACTAAGGATAGTTGCCAGCCCTAATTGGAAGATTTCTGCTGTGTTTTGGGGCAACAACTTGTCTGCAGTAAAAAAGCATATAATTTGTTTTTCAAAAGTGTGTGAAAACCAATCAGTTAACTTATATGATCTCGGTTCCGATATTAAATAATCAATAATTGTTTATACCCGCATTTTGGCACATTGGCTCGTTGAATGTGCCATCTAATAAATAGTGTCGTCATTCTCCTTAGCTGGTTTTAAATGATGTCACAAATTGCTGGCGGAGACATGAATACAGTGTAAGAAAATTCTTTTTCTATAATTGTTTCCTTATAGAAAAGTTGGTTTCTTTTTCACCTTAGACATTCCGAATTGGTTCAAAATATGCTAAAATAAAACACAGAATTCTTTCAGTGTTCCTCCGGGGGTTTTGGACATGGACTGTTTCTTCAATTTAATAGTATTCGATTTATTTTTGTGGAAACGATGTTTTGCAAGTTATGGATCATTTCTACACTCTTTCTTCAAATATTTCTCGTATTCCAGCTGTGCGCAGGCGTTTAGTTTTTCGCATCGTGTTTTTACATATTCGTAATTTAATTTTTTTTAATAAAATTTGGCAATAACTGTTTTCATCTATTAAAAAACAACACTTACGGGGCAATGTTTATTGTAAGAACAACATTTTTTTCTATGAATCGACATACTTTAAGCATTGTTGACGCTATTTCCATTTGAATGAGGAAATAACGCCAATGACTTTATTTCCAAATTTTTGCTGACTTTATTTCGCTTTTGAAAAGGTAATAATGTCAATTGCCTTTATTTCGCACCAGGGTGGGAAATAAAGTCAATTGACGTTATTTCCATTGACCTTATTACCTGTCACCGATAAAATATACCTATGGGATGAGCCACGCCCACTTTTACAACCTTATTCATATATACCCTACTATACGCACCTACCATATGTATGACTGAATAACAAATTTCCAGTTCATTGACTTATAGTTTCGGATTTATAGCTGATAAAATATTCCACGCCTATTGGATGTGTCACGCCCACTTTTACAAAGTCATTTATATATACTCTATTGTAAGCACCTACCATATATATGACTGCATACCAAATTTCAAGTTCATGTGACTGAATTTGTATTTTATTTGTATAAATTTGTAATTATTTATTTGAAAGGACACCAGCACAACACGTATGCATATTACTTATGATTAGGCTAGGTATGAAGTTAAAAAAATAGCGTACGTACAAGTTTAAACCAATAATGCAAAAATGCATTTTTCACCTATGTACTTGCATATCATTATTGCTCTTTCCTTTATGTAGGTATCATAATCTATAAGGAGCACCCCTTTAATAATATTTTGCGGGAAAAAGTTTAAAACGGTGGTTTTGGCAACTTGAAATACCGTAAAGCACGACCAAGCACACGTTAAAGTTTTCTAAGAAAAAAGCCCATTATCCACAAAGTGCAAGAAAGTGCAATATTATTCTCTGCCCACAAACTCTAAATCAAACATTTTCATTGCCCGCAAAGCTCAAATACCGCCAAATGAAACCAATATTTTATAGCTCTATTTAAATTGGAATATTATTACCCAAATTAGGGTCAATTTTAAAAATTAATATAATTTTATTTAGCAAGCTATATTCTTGTTTTCTTTTTGTTAGTCAAACAAATATAGCCTTCATTATTATTTCCATTCTTTTGGAAGTATCTTTATCACTCGAAGACTTATGCCAATTCGAATTACAATAATGCTGACCACGAAATAAAATATGTAAACTTTTTGTAGAAATGTCAACTTTAACAGCTCTCAACGAGACATCTCAACGGAAGCACTCTTTCAGAAAATAATGTGCATGCACTTTTTTACTCTGGAAAAATAGTGCTTACTTAACATTGCATATATTTTCAACAAAATTTAAATGCGGCCATAGGACCGAAATTGATTTATAAAATCATAAGAGGTAGAGCTCTTAATTCAAGCGAATTCCATCCGCAACAACTGTTCTGCACCGAAACACGGCGGTTTATGTCTGCTTCGGAACATATCGGCCCTTTCTGTCACGGTAAGATCCGGAAAATTTGACAGTTATCTCATAAACAGAACAGCTGAAGAAGGAGTTCTTCAGATCCATATATAAAAGTCAAATTAGTGATACTAAAGACCTAGGTATTAGTTAGAAAAAAGTTGTTCTATTTCAGATGTTCCTCAGCCACTGCGGCCGCCTAGATCCTTATTTGGTTTTACTTGCCTTGTGTTGGGACTAAGCACATATCCTTGAAGATTCCCACAAGCATGTACATAACTAAATATTCACTCATTTTAAAACCTTTATTTGATTTTGAAAATTAATGTACTACCAAAAATTTTTTACTTATCTATCAAATATATGTACGCTTACATTTGCAATAGTTGTCAATACATCATAGAGGTACCACTTTGTATGGAAAGTGAAGAATCCATTACCGAAAGGACTGATCTTGCCGATAGTTTGGCCATTGAAGGGGTAATGATCCAGAAGAAAATCATGCTAATAATTAAATACTTATTAATAATTAAACATTTTACATAATTTGCTATTTAATTAAAATCGGTAACTCACATCATAAGGACACGTGTGATTCATATTGCTATAATTTTCAAATCCCATAGTACGATAGACGAAGTTAGCTAAGGAGTTGCGGCGTTTGTTGCGAAAAAAAGCACAACAATCGATTTTATACTCCAACATCGGTCGACGATCCTCGCGACCACGCCTCACAAAAGCAACATAAAGCTATTAATTTAGGAAATATTTTTATATGTATTTAGATACTGTATTTCTCGGTATTTTACTAAAATTTTAATTTTTAATTTAATTTTCTTCCCAAACTCACCGACGAATTATTTGCTGGCCTTAAGTTCAATGCAGCCTCTACGGTCACTTCAAAAACATCACGACTCACATGCTCCATTTTACAAAAAGTGACATTTAATAAGCTTGGGTTTACATTTTCACAGGTTATTTCAATTAGTTTCACAAATCTTTCCTTAAATAATAATTAGAAGCCAATTTTAATAAGTTTACCTTAGCTAACATTAGCCCCACCCCACTAATCTTCTGGATTAGAAACTTACATTTTGCACAGCTTTTAATTGCATAGCAACAAAATAAATAAAAATTAGTTTAAAATGCTTGTATAGCGAAGACATTTTTTTTCAATAAATTATTTGGCAAACTTTTATACATTCGGAATTCAAATTCAACTAATCTTAAGCGTTGCTGTTTTGGCGTTTACAAGGCTCACTTACCTAGCTAGCTAAATCTATATACGAATATGCAAATGTACAAACTTACATTCATAGTTAGGCAGTTAATGATTCCAAATGAGTTTTTAATATTTTATTATAATTTTTTAATTTTAGTAAAAGCAGTTCCCATTTAGTTGCAGTTAACTTAACGAGGTACACATACATATGTATACAAACACACCTACAGGCGTAAGAATATACATACATGAGTAACAAAAGTTAATAACTAAAAAAAAAAAGAATTGGTAATAGCAAAAATGAGGGCATACCGCTCAATTTTTCGTTGAGTTTGAAAACGGACGATGTCTTAAGAAATTCATATTTTAAATACAGAAGCTAATATATTCAAAATTGGTGTTTGCAATAGCTCTTTAACAAAAAACACGTCTATTATAGAATTTTGGAAAATGGCCGTGGCACCGCCCACTTATGACGAGATATGGTTTTCTTGGTAACCTTTCGATCAATTTATACCAAACTTGGTACGATTATTTCGCTTGCAACATAAAAGCAAAACGTTAAAAATTATTGAAATCGGACTAAATTTAATCCCACTTTTCATAAAACGGTAAATTTCAGAAATTATTGAAACTTCGATATTTCGGAATTTAAGGATGTTGGTTTATTCAAAATTGATACTAACAACAATCCCTTAAAATAAGTAACATTATTATAGAATTTTGGGGAGTGGGCGTGATACCGCCCACATCTAACCATATAGATAAGTTTATCTCATTAAGTATAAGTGAACATACTATCGAAATTGTTAGAAATAGGGGTAAATCAACTCTTCTTACAATGTAACGGTAGTTTTCAGAAAAATTATAAACTATATTTAATACTTTATTCATACCAAAAACAATTTCGCGGAACCCCGGTGACTTTTCTACGGATCCCACTATAATAAAGCTCTGCTATAGGGGCATTTCTGCATCAAAAAGAAAATTTTTGAAAAATATATCGCTTACGTTTTTTTGGCGGTTAGGGCTGGATATGGTTAAATCAGCAAAGGCACTCAAGGTATTTTACCCAAAGTTACTGCACGCTACTTGTTTGGCAAGCAATGTTGATGTTGGCGATTTAATATCGAATGGGAAAACATATTTTTAAAATCTGCTATGCGCATTGAAGCTTTTAAGAATATGTATCTCAATATCGCTCCTCCGCCACAGCCAATATTAACGATATGGAGAACCTGGCAAGAGGCGGACAAATATTATTGCCTACATTTTAAGGAATTTCAAAAACCATTCTTAAAGATCTAAATGATAGTGACGCTTCTTCAATATTGAAGGCGAAATTGCAAGGAAAAAATTCATTGGCTCAACAAGGTCATCTTGTGGAGATGCTGTGCAGGGTGAACTTTACCAAAAAATCAAAGAAAAGTTGGATACCATTATTATTGTGTTAATCATAAACTTCTAATAAAATATGAAAAATCTAAAAAGCAAAATAAATTCGAGAAGTCTTTTTGCATATTTTTGAGTTTCTATTGCATATTTACCGCATAAAAATCCGGGGCCTATTTATCATTATTTATTTTTTTTTGGCTTTTGATTAATTATAAGTTTAATAACCGATTATTTTATTTTTTTGCCATCCCTACTTAGAGCACTTCGTCCCTTAAAGTACAATACAGCCTATCGTCATTCTGCAAAACCGCGTAACTGACATTTGCTGGCAAAAATTGGATTTGCTCACACAAGCTCCTGGCTTCGTCCTGAAATATAAGAAATGCGATTGTTTTATAAAATTGAGAACCTTTTTGAAATATGAGTGCTTTTACTCTCTAGAAAATAATTTATACAACCTCACATACGCGGTTTTGTACTTTAAACGACGAATTGTTGAAATGAAAACACTAATGCTAAAGTGTGCAAACGGATAAGTATGTATGTATGCATATGTACGTATACATTTATAAATTTGTTTGCTTGAATAAAAACAATCCTCAACATACTTTTAGGCAGCGCTTGCGCTTTGCTATCATTTCTGTTCTCTGCTTTCAAAGTTACTCTTTCTGTTGTCGGCACTAGCTTAACAGAGCGCTGTTAACATATGCTGTTAAAATGGTTATTTCCAAAGAGCTTATATCACAATTCATACCCAACGCTGACACCGTGGCGCCGTGGCTTAGTTGGTTAAAGCGCCTGTCTAGTAAACAGGAGATCGTGAGTTCGAATCTCGCCGGGGCCTATCAGTTAGTTAACACTGAATTCTTTTTAATTAAAATTTTTTAATTTCTGTGCTAACAACTAGAAACTTCTTGTATTTACACCAACTAAGTACATATGTATTCTGTTTATCTATTTTTAATAGTTAATAAATTGTACATATTAACAAGTGGAAGTGTGCACATATGCATATTTTATACACAATCGTATCTGACATTGGAATCGCTATCTTTTGTTTGTCATTACGCAATAGGACCACCTCTGACATTATTTTTTGTTGAATACATTTTTAACTTTATAGAATTTTAAGAACCAGAAATGAGTCTGCGAAGTCTGTTGACTTTTTACATTTTGTGTCGATTTTTACAATTAATAATTCTAGCGTTTATGTACGTTTTTTCACTTGTTTAAATTCTTGAAGTTAAATTTATTGTTCTATGAATTTGTTTGTTATTGGAAAAGAAAATTGTTGATTATTAATAAAGAGGGAACGGATATTATGGAAATTGCCTTTTTTTCTGCTAAAGAGATAGAGTATATACGATTAAGAATGTCCACGATTTAGCTTTCCCTGATTCCATATATACACATTTGATGTTGCCTTATTTTGCCTTTTTTAAGATATTTGCCTTTTTTGCCTTTTCTACCTTTAAAAAAGTGAATAGTCAAAGATTCAAAGTACAAATTTTTCATATAATGAAACTAGTTCATAGTTTTTCTCTTTTTACTTGTAATATAAACATTTCTAAAAAAAATATATTTTTTGATTGTTCTTCGTATTTTTTGTCTTTTTTAGTGCCTTATTTTGCTTTTTTTTGCAATACCTAGTGCCTTTTCCTGCCTTTTACGATATTTTGTTTTGCCTTTTCCAGCCTATTTCGTTATTTTATTTTGCCTTTTTTATAGGTTTTTAGGTCCTAAAAATCCGTTCCCTGTTAATAAACTAGCTTTCAACAATAGCAAACAAGAAAGAAATCAATGTTTTAAATTGAATATCATATTAAGATATACTTACATATGGGGTATTCCATCGCCGCGCACGGTGGGCCTGAACCAACTTTAAATCGAAGGTCATAGCACATCATTTTTTATTGCTAATTTGGGTTATTTATGATATAAATAATGTGTAAAAATTTTATAGCCCATAACTTGTCGAGCCGTTTTTGAAAAAACTCATTTTAAATAAAAAGTATTCCTTTTCTTTTAAAATTTTCATACATACGTATTGGACTACGGATTAAATTGTAATGTGAAGGAAACACTATTAAGGCTACAACACTCGTTATTTATTTTTTTATGTAATACATAAGTTGTTTTAAAAATACACGATATTTTATAAACAACTAAATTTTTATTATTGAAAAGAACATCGTTTATTTCTACAAACTGTACCGGGTATAAAGCAGATTTTTTATTTACTAGTATCGCCCAGTTGTCGGAATTCGACATCTCTTTTCATACAATTTTGAATTTTACCTGTCCCAAATACTAACTCCTTTATGCGAATTACATTTCGAAGTCCACCAGCATATTTATAGCGAAATTTACAGGAAAACTTAAAATCGAATTATGAACGTTAATACCGGATTGATTAATGCTAATTCTATCAAGTCTTCTCCAAATTTCTTCAGTTGCTTTTGAAATTAAACCGAAAAAGGAACCTCGATTTTCATTTATAAAAAATATGCATATGTATTTGTATGTACAGAAAAGATATTCATCACTGACTAATATGTCAAGCATATACCAATTCAGACTTTAAATAAGTTTTTCGATTATATTTGTCTGAGAGCCTCTTGGAGGTTAATAACTAAATTGCCCACATCTACATAAACTCTTTATTTTTTTCATCAGAATCGTTAACGGTTGAGAAAGTATCTTGAAGACTTACAACAGAAGATAATATTTCCTTCTCTAACGACGGTTTCACGCGGGTTTTGGTCAAGACTGGGCCAAAGCCCCAATATTTTTCCATCCCACGACTGGGCTACAAAGTTACACCAAATTTTATGTTACTAATATGTGTTCTAAAAGTGAAACAAATCTGATCATAAATATGATTTTTTACGATACCTCTCAATCCCTGCGCAAAATATCGGAAGACAAACACACTTATACTTCTAAAAGCTTTTACACGAAACAACAACGATTCAATGCGATTTTAAAATCTGGGAGAAAATGGTTCCCAGTTGAATGATTCTTGCGATTTTATATGTGTATAAATGTAGGTGTATAAAATTCCAAAACCTTACAATAAGAGGTTCCAGAGATAAGCGATATGAGAATTTCAGTTTGTATGGGCGGTGCCACGCCCTCTTTTCCAAAATCTGCCATTCTTCGCCGTAAGTAAGTATGGTGTATGTTTCATAGAAATCGAGCAAACCGTGCCTTCAAAAAAGGGATTGCAAAATTTTCTTGTTTATATATAGATTATGTATGTATTTTTGGACAACTAATAGGAGAGCTGCATGGTGTTTTACATACAACCTTTTAAATTTTTTAAACAGTAGCTTATATGTACATGTTGAGCATTGTATTCTTGTACTGCTCTCAGTAATTTAAATGGATATTCCGGATCCTTGACGAATACTTTATATTTGTCCCAGTTGCTTTAAAGTCGGAATGTAGGGATTCTGCATCTTGCTCGCTATAGAATCCTAGACCCTTGCCTACATGCATGCATGGTCTTTTGGTCTTGCAAACATGTTATTGTTTTGTAGATATACTTGACACAAACCATTGCAAGTATAAAGAATACTTACATATATTCGAAACTTAAAAAAAATAACAAACGTGCGCGCACAA